TATGAAAGCCATTTGTTTTATATTTAGTGTGAAGTGTACGAATATGAAGCTATATCGATTTTATAAATTATTGCGAAAATAGATCAATCATAGGCGTCGGTAAGGGGCTCTGATAACCCCTATTTTTAATATAATTTCTACACCACTGGAAATTTTTCAAATTGAATATATTTTTTTTTACATTGCGGTTTATTCTATAGCAAAAAGGTCTCTTACTATTTTTAAGTCAAATGCTTGTTTTCGTATGAAACATTTTTTTAAAACAAGTGATCCCAACAAGGTACTCCGTTGCCTCAATTTTTGTTTCTTTTTTTGTTTTTCTGGATATTTTATGGCCAAATTATGGGTTAAATCGAAAAGATAATAAGAACAAAACATTTGTTTTTTTTTCGTTTTTCAATCGAAATCCGTGGTAAAACATGGGTATTTCCATTTACCACTTCCGGCTAGACCGCAAGTTGTAATTTTAGTCTGAAACTTTTTTCGAAATAATCGAGACCAACCGAGATATTATTTTATCTCACGATAAATGCCCCACCCGGTATAAGGTATTTTATTTTTTCCATATTTCACATAACTCATCATAATAATCAGAAAAACGCGCTGATTTAAAAAAAAAAGCAAAACAAAAATTGTATGACGTTTCTTTAATCTCACCAGCATTTATTTACTTAATTTATCAGCGAAAATTGATGTTTCGAGTTTCATTCTCCTCACTCTGTACAATTCTATTGATAACCCCCCTCTCAAAGAGATCCACTTAATTCTCTTAAATTGAAGAAGTTTTTGTTGTGGATCCTCCCTACCTTCCAAGCCCTTGATACATTGTCCAACAAAAAGCAGCTACAGCCGTCGCATTGTCTGCAGACGTAGTTTTAACGTCTGGCAATCTGAAACAAGATATATCATTATTAGAACATAAGTCACCGAAATCCGAAGCCATTGTCCCATTTACTCCTGGGGAGGTAGGGGAAAGGACTAAAGTCGAAAGTGATACTTTCCAGGTCTTTATTCCATAAAGGCTGTTTTGGCAGGATTCTGTGTTTTGTTGGAATGGCAACAGGTGTGTTTAACGTGAGAATAACCTAACAAAAGAACTTGTTTCAGTAGAGAAATAATACAGGGTATAAGGGAGACTGATTCCTTTGTACGAAACAAAAAAACAACAGTTTTTTTTTCTAAAACTGCCTTATTAGCTATTTAAGAACACCTGTCTACGACGCAACTGATGGATAAAAACATTTTTGTTCAAAATGAAGTTCTTTATCAACTGTTAAAGTTAGTAAGTTTAAATAGGGAACACCCTGTGTAATGTAATCTCTCAAAGAAATGTCCTGTAGTCTTAACATAGATATTCACGCAAAAATTGTTTTTATCTGATCCCACTATAGTAATTTGACCGCTCTATTTCACTCATCGGAGGCGCAATATTATCTGACTGATCCATTAAAACAGCCTGATGTGACGTACTACTAGAACCTGGAGTTGAAGTGTCATTGTAAAGAATCCTATTGGCTATTTCATTTCGTTACTTAAACTGTCAGCAACATAACTTTCTGCGATTGTGACTGATTTCCACCCACCCTGTCTCTTGATTGCTAATACATCAACTCCTGTATTTGCCAGTAACGTTGCCGATGTTCTTCGGAATGAATGGCCCGTATATATTTCAGGATGTTCTAGTTTCAAAAAGTGTCCAATGTTATTAGGAATCATAGAAAGGGTATTCTTGCCGACTGGTTGTTTGTAATATGATGCTTGATAGCGCATAAAAAAGCGTGAAATTTCAGTTTTAATTTCCAACCTAATCTTGATATATTTCTTGAGAATTTGTAGGTGAGAAACAGAACCCAGAAGAGAAGTAATTGTAAACGTACGTGACATATAATTTTTGGAATCTAGAATTGTAACTACAATAACGTCATCGAATTTTTGAAATTGAGTGTACAGCCGTCATTCTTACGTTTCAAAAATGCTCCCAGCTTGGGGTATTTTGATATATCCACGTTCTTCTCTATGAAAATCATCATCGACTAGTAAATATATGGTGTAAATAACTATTTTAAGTACAAGAGAATAATGTTTGACTTAATTCGACAGAATTTTTAGGAACAAATTGTTTGAATTTATTTCTTCTTCTAAACAAAAATCTGCCGCGTAATAAAGAATCTGAAAATCAAACCCTTGTTCTCGAAAACAGTAATAGGCTAAATGTATAACCCCCCAAGGGAAGGAAATTAATTTTTAGCTTGATTGGATTTTGCCGCAGCACCTGTTCAGGCTTCGTCCGCAGTTTCCCAATACGTTCGTTCCTGTAGCAACCAAAGGCAGCCTAATTTTTTCACCCCGAAACAATATATCCTTTAAAACAGACAACACCGTCTTGTGTTATTCAAAGCGTGCCACCGCCAATCATTCCTAAAGGAACAAGGGGTGAAATGGCAATTCCTTGTTTAACCCTTGCCTTATTGCCATTGGCGGTTGTTTTCAGACGGGGTTGGGAGTCTTAAAAGTCTAGTCGGGCGCGTTTTGTGAAGTATGGGTTTATTAAATGTTTGATTTTAGACTTAACTACAGAGCAGAAGAATTGTGGAATTGTGCAAACGGTCGTTCATATTCCTTTGTTTATTTATTAAAAACAAGAGATGTAATGTGTAATAAATTCTATAGAAAATTTTACACCTGTCATTTTAAGCCAATTATATACTGTAAGTTCGACAGTTGCCCATGGCAACTTTCAAATTTTTCGGAATTTTTTTTTCCTCCTGCCGAGCTAGGCAAACAAAATTAATAAGTGGAAATTTTTTTTGACAGCTATCATATGGTTCAAAAATTAGTACCTATTCAGAGTTTTGCTTTGTAATGTTTTTATTTATTTTGAAATAATAAATACATAGATACAAATAATTATTTACCAAATATTTGTTTCAAGATTTCTTCTATTAACGCTAAATGTTTTTGAAATTCTGGCTGGAACTCTTCTCTTCGCAACGGAGACTAACGAGGAGCATAATTATTACCTTTATTTTTCATTTCTGTCATATGTATGTCTGTGTTTCATAAAATATATGTAATAATTTGATGCAATTTTGTTCTGCTGAGCCCTGGTTTTACGTAAAAAAGATGGGCTACAAAATCCTCCAAAATCTTTTGAATAGCTGCGAAAAGGTTTTCTTGATGCGGACTGATTCCAGTTTTTTTCAGAAAATGTGGCAAATACTTTAAATTTTTATGAGACATAAGAATGTCCCCTATTTTGGTGCTAGAATTACATATACTATAAGGTTTTAAATTAGTTTTTTGGTTGTTCGCTGCCATGATTTAATTGTAAACAGTTATATTAGAAGCTAGAGAAAATGACTGTCAACGTGACGTACAGCGAAGACGATTTTGACATCACAAGCCTAAGCCTATTTGATTGCAGCTATAATTTTTTAAGAATCATTGATATATTGCCATAGACATAGTAATACTAAGTGAATTATACTGCAAATATAAATATCTGAATTCAAAAATTAAATGCCTTTTTTATTACTAAAGTGAATGTAATGTGGTGTTTTTTATGTTTAATAAGGGTCATTAATAAACTGTCATAAACATCGCATTTCTACAAAAACTTACTTTCCTTCTATTTTAGTAATACTAAGTGAATTGTGTTGCAATTTAAATTCAAAAATTAGATGCCTTTTTTATTACTAAAGTGAAAGGAATGTGTTTTTTTATGTTTTAATAAGAATCTTTGATAAACTGCTATAGACATCACTTCTTTACAAAAACTTACTTTGCTTCTATTTTAGTAATACTAAGTGAATTGTATTGCAAAGGTAAATATCTGAGTTCAAAAATTAACTGTCTCGTTTATTACTAAAATGAAAGGAACGTGTTGTTTTTTGTTTTATTAAATTATGTTACGTTTAAGAAGAAAAAAGTATGTCATGCACCACAAAACAATGTCTACCTGTCAAGCCAACTTTATTTTGGCGAAATAAGTTTCAAAATGAAACATATCAAATTTTTTAAATTAATTGTGGGTGTAAAATTTTCTTTGCGAGTCCCCCACGTCCTTGAATGTCCGGAAATTTTTCCTCAATCACGCATTTTTCTAGAAAATTTTCCCTCGTCTGCGACTCCGGAAAAATTTCCCGAAATAATTCAAGCACTAGGGAGATTATAAGTGAAAATAAAACTAGCACTATTAAAATGAAGTTTTAAAGTTTTAAAAATAAAGTGAAACATATCAATACTATAGTTTCCAGCGATCAAAATAAGCAGATTTAACAAAGTTACCTCTATCCTAAATTCTTAGTTCGAGATTAAAACACTATTAAAAGAATATTCCAAAAAATGATACAATTTCGCAAGAAACAGGCACATTTATCTAAATCAACTTTACTATTCATTACTTAAAATTTGACATCATTGGTAAAATGCTTACAAAAATATAAACAATATTAATAGGAGTTAGAAATATACTCCAAATGGATCTTATTATATTAAGTTAGTTAATATATGGAAACTTCTCTTCTGTAATTAAACATTATATTGTCACTATAGAAGGCCCCTTTTCCAACAGATATGCCCAGTTGGTCTTTAAAATACTGAAAATAATTCTTGAGAAAAAATACTATCTTCTCGGGTTTACGCGCTTGATTGCTAAGATGGTAAAGATAGAGAGCCTAATCAATTTATTTTAAAAAAATCAATACTTACACCACCAAGTGGTTGCTTGCAATACAGCTGTTTCAAAATGTCTTTTTTATAAAAGTTATACATCATTTTTACACTGTTTGACTTAATTTGATAAGATTAAAAAATAATAATAATGCCTTTAAAACAGTCAAAAAACGATTTTTTTTTTACAACAGTGAATTATTTAGATTAATTAGTTTTCATCAGACGGATCTGCATTCAACATAATTTATAAATTAAGGGTCAAACAGCATTTGTAATAATCCTGACGGTCCTCCTGAGAAATAAAACTAAGTTTTTCCTTGTTGCAGCTCTCACGTGTCCCGTATATTTTGACGGATGGTCCTGCTGGCCTGAGACCCCTGCGGGATCGGTGGCCAATCAATCATGTCCTGATTTCATCCCAGGATTCGAAGCCTCTAGTGAGTATATTAGCGGTTTAGTTTTTTCTTTGAAAACCAACACACTAAAATTGTGTTTCAATAAAAATACATACATACGCGTAGGAAACGGTGCATAAACTAGCTTTTTATTTATGTTACTTAAAAAAAAATTACTGCGTTGTGGACATTTTTTTTAAGAAATTCCTTTGTCGGGTTCCCGTAAGTAATAAAATAATGGGACAAAAACCTCAACCGCGCATCAAGACAACCGATCAATCAATAAAGTTAAATGTTCAAGATCCCAAATAGGCCTCCACAACTTTTTTTAGTAATTGATGGATTGCGGGCCTTTTTCTATTTATCTCATCACCGATAATTAACTTTGAAGATTTTTTTCCGATTTATCCCTCGCCCGTATATTCCTAGTAAAAACCGCACCGATATACATTTCTTGCGAGACCACGAACAAACAAGCAGAAAGGATATAAAGAGGATCAAAGGACTTAAATAGACGATCTCTAATTGGGGAAAGGGAATTGGATTTACCAACAGTAAATTTAATTGCATCAACACGGATTTGTTCGGGTGGTGATTTTTTATCTTGCAACTCCAGAAAAAAAAAACAATAGAACATTTTATTGACGAGTTTATGAAACTTGGAATCATTTACCTCTTGCTGAAATTATTCCCCTGAATACCGTGAAAAGACCTAATGGATTTCATTGTAGCGCCTGAATATAATCAGGCGTGATTTATTAACATCAATGTTGCCATTTACTTCCAGTTCACTAAAACGATTAGTCACATTTACCTACTTCATTTATGTGGCGATTCGAAGTTTTCAAGCAACGTGTTTAAAAGGACGGAATAATTAGCGCTTTATAGGTTACCTTGCCATGCTAATTTTGCTGCCAAGTTTTTGGGGAAAAGAGAAGTTTTTTTTTTCTACAACTAGTTGAGGCAGTTTTAACGTATACCAAGATTTTAATTGCTTCATAAAATATTCTACTTCATTAAGAGTAGATTTCAAATAAATTTCGATTTAAAATTAATAAAAAACTACACATAATTGTTTTATTAGGCTAATCAATAGAGAGTTTGTTTATGACAAAAATACTTGTAGCAAACGGACTGTACCATCAAACAAAAGGCAGTCTGTAGATATCCTGATACAGGGTATAAGAAGTATGTATCGACGCTTTAGTACGAAAACATGCTATCTCAGATTAAGCTTGGAAAACATATTTTTTTAATTAATAATTCGACGTTTGTAACAGTAACTTAACAAAATAAATTGAAAAATGTTGAATAAAAAATAATAAACAGTGTACGTGAATGCACAGTTTCAATCATTCAATGTGACAACTTAAATTTTTAGTCAAACTGAGATAGTATGTTTTTCATTAAAGATCTGAGTTAGCATGTTTTCCAACCGAAATCTGAGATAGCATGTTTTCGTACTAAAGCGTCGGTGTTTTCTGCCATGAAATTTGAATAATTCCAAATATTTCGAATTTCCTGTATAAAATTAGTGTCGTGCAACTCTCTCGGTTTCAAAAATAACGAGCGTTCAAAAACGTGGTCAAGTTGGTTCTGAAAATTTGGACGTAGGGCGTAGCGTATAGCAAATGAACTTAAACGTCATCTGTCAAAGCGCTATATCGCCGCTATCAATTTGAATATTTTCGTTTTAAAAAGCGTTTAAAATGGTGTTTTCTCAAGAACAAAAAGTGTTTATCATAGAGTCCTACTTTAGAAATGGACGCAAGATTGATGGAATATGGAAGTATTCTATTGAGGAATGTTTCATAGAATTTCAAAATCAATTTCCCGGCGTTGTTGAGTACAAAATTTTTCAAAGTGCAGTTCAGCGTTGTGTTAATGTTTTTCGTGAAACGGGCAGTGTAACAAGAAAAGAAGGAAGCGGCCGACCTAAAAAGCGGACTGAAGAATTAAAAGAAAATGTCCAACAAATAATGGAAAATGCGCCAAGAACTTCTGTACGTGTTTTATCACAAATGGTGGGAGTATCAGTCGGTACCTGCCACACAGTGTTAAAAAAAGATTTGCGTTTGTTCTCCTATCGTTTAACTTGTCAGCAAGAACTTCATGAAGTTGATTTTCCGCGACGGGCTGTATTTTGTGAATGGTTTTTAAACAACTACGGTGAACTTCATAATATCACCTTTTTTTCTGATGAAGCCTGGTTTCATTTAAGTGGTTACGTAAACTCACAGAATATGAGAATGTGGTCTTCTGAAAAACCAGATAACTTTTTTGTCGAGGGCCCTCTACACGCTCAAAAAATTGGAGTTTGGTGTGCTCTCAATCGAAGGAGGATTTATGGACCTATTTTTTTTAATGGTACTCTTACTGCGCAAAGGTATAGAGAAGAAATTATCGCTCCTTTTGTTAACCAGCTGGAAGAAAACGAAATTACAAACTTTTACTTTCAACAAGATGGCGCAAGGGCACATACGGCAGGCGAGACGATGAATATGTTGAGGGAAGTTTTCCAAAATCGACTAATAAGTCTCAATGCTGAACATGAATTTCCACCGAGGTCATGTGATATTACGCCGTGTGATTTCTTTTTGTGGCCTTACCTTAAAAACACTATTTTTGAACTGCCTATTCCTGATTTAAACCATCTGCAGGCTCGACTTATAGACAAGATTCGTGAAATTAACAATACCCCGAGCATCTTAGAAAATGTCTTTAATTCTTTGAGGAACAGGTGTGAAAAGTGCTTGGAACAAGGAGGGGGACACTTTCAGCAGCTGCTTTAATTTATTGTTATAACAAGGAGGGGGACACTTTCCGCAGCTCCTTTAATTGTTTGTTATTGTTATCACGATTATTCTTTAAAATAAAGTTATATAGTCATTAACGTTATTGAAACTGACAGCTGCTATACAGCTCGTTGAGAAATGAGGTTAAGTTGGTCGCTATAAGCGACTCCCTACGTCCAATGTGTCAGTGCCAACTTCGACCACGTTTTTATTTGAACGCTCGTTACAATACCTATGTGTGTTTTCAGCCACGAAATTTGAATAATTCCAAATATTTCGAATTTTCACCACCAAGAACGGCGGTGACAACATTTTTAAAATGAAGGCGATGTTTCGCATTGTATTAAGTGTGCACAAAACGGAGTTTTGAATTTTTCCGGGATCGACCTCTCGTTTTATTCGTATTTCGATTATCTACGAATTGTAGGTATATAGCATTCAGATTTTTTTTGTCACTTTAGGTTTTATAAGCAAAAAACTAAAAAAATGCGTTTTTGCATAAAAATGTTCAAAAAAAGTTAATTAATGGTAAATTGAAGTAGGAAACATATAAGCATATATTTACAGACAGTCTTTTATATAATGGCACAGTATTTTTGTCACAAACTAAACCTCTATTGATTGGCCTAGTCGTGTCTAGTATGTGACGTCAAGCCAATTGGAAATTTGACAAATAAAATTAGTCCCAAACCAGCCTATTGTAACGACGGTAACCCCATTTTCGTTAAAACTTCGTTCTCTGAATAATTACTGTGCATATCGGCACAGAGAGGGAATATTTCAGCAGGAGTATGCGCGACGGGAATATACCCGTGCAATTTTTAGCGCTGGCGTTACAACGTACTGGCTTCGGTGGCTTCAGGAAATTGTTACTTTTTAACGCGACACTAAAACGTGGACATATTAAATGTATCGAAGAAATGTGTATCATTTTGCAGGGATCGTAAATTTCCCGGCTGGGCGTAGCAGCTACGTCTATAAATCATGTACAGGTCGTATAAAAGGGAGTACGCCCTATCTCCGTTTCTGAAGAGGTCGTTTTTGATGTCTATATACAAGTTTGGCTCACCAAGTTCTACTTTTCGAGAATCATAACCACATCTATGCAAATCAGCAGATCATGTTGCAAATTATAAGACATATTAATGTGGATCAAATCACAACAGAAACATATATCTGTGTATTATTTCACTGTTCACAGCGCTTATTACTTGTCCGTAGATTTATTTTCACGACAACAGAACGTCTGCTATATTTGTGGAAAGCTCCACTTCTCATCTTTATTTTTTAATTTAAACTGAACACCGACACACACAGTAGCAATTGAACTTCACGAATTGCAGCCGTAAAACTTTTATTATTTCCCATCGTGACCCGCCGCCGTCGGTCGATTACGGGGCAGTATAACCCGTCCCCGTCTTAAACTTTACACTTTTCACTTCGGTTTGATTAATAGAATTCCCGGCCAGTTATTGAATTCTACCGAGGCTAACCCACTTCACTCTAACGCAACTTTGTCGGCTTTTCTTCGTGGAAGGAAAATTGCTGGGATTTTTTGCGCATACCTCTTAATAAATTAAGTTTGGTACGGGGGAATTTTACTTGTAATCGGACTTTAATCGTGCAACAGTCGATCGAACCACGGAATGTACAAAACATAATTGTTCTGTGTTCTGTGGCTGACCTTTCGGTTGGTTTTAATAAAAAGAAGTTATAAAAAAGGCAGCACACAAAAGAGTAACACAAACCTTCCACCTTGTTTCAGATTTTCCACCGAATTTTAATCTCCTTTAATGAAATCTGCGTTTAAACTTTCTTAAAGGTTGCTCTCTGCATCCCTCCGATCTCACCATCGGTGATTAATTGGGCCCCCGCGAAACGAACGCTCTTTAATGGGGCAGAGTACCGAAATAGCTCGTCGTTTAAAGCTTATTTCTTTTCACCGACCGGAGAACATGAGGTCTGGCGGAAATGTTAACTTATTCAGGGCATATCCGAGGACGAGCCCTGTCGTTTGTGACCCGGAAACAACGAATAGTTTTATTATCTAAGGGAAAAATCGGAAAGTACGCGAGATGTTTGTGAATGTTCCGAAACCGGTCGCAGATTTAAGAAAGATAGCGGAGGATGGGGTCAGAAATGTTCTTGATTGTTCGTCAGTGTCCGAATTGGGATTTAGGATGTGCTATTCGGAAAACAATAAAAACAACAGAAAATGAGTCATTGTCGGCTGTTTAGATTTGAGTT